CCAGTCCCTGTGAAAAGCATTGCTGCCATATTTTGAATCAACTGATCTCCAGACTGTTTTCAAAGATAGCCCCATGTACAGCATGTTATGGTACTCTGGATGAGAGGATGGATCACTGTAGCTAGGCTCTGCCTGTCCAGATGGGGTCATAGCTGACATCTCAGCCTAAGCTGATAAAAGGTGGTCTGTGCCACTGAGTCCACTGTCCACTTGTGACTCAAGTGATAGTTCTGGATCCAGGAGCACCCAAAGGGACTACAAAGATGGATGTAGACCCAAAGACAGCCTAATTGACCAGCTGCTTCTATCTCTGCTTCTAAAGGAGAGTCTAACCTATGTACATGGATGCTTATATTCAGGGTGTAAGTAGTATGGTGTCTTCCAGGTGTTTTGTACTACAGCTATTATGATCTCTAGTTATGGGCCATGTTGGCTAGGACTTAAGATAGCTGTTGTTGTTAGTCGCGAAGTCGTGTCCGACCCATCGTGACCCCAAGGACAACATTCCTCCAGGCCTTCCTGTCCTCCACCATGCCCTGGAGTCCACCTAAGCTCACACCAATTGCTTCAGTGACTCCATCTAGCCACCTCATTCTCTGCCGTCCCCTTCTTGTAGTGCAAAGCAATTGAGGGCTTCTTATCCTTGCTTTCCATGTTAAGGTCAGGTGTGCTCTGTTATGATTTTCAGTACTTTTTGGTGTAAGAGTAAATTTTAGGAGGAACTCAAGTTTTCTTATCAACTGATGAACTTTTTCATTCTTAACTTTCCTTGATTTCAGAAAAGAAATTCACTGAATTATATGAACAATTGGGAGGTCAATGAAGCAAGGATTAACTTAAGTACATCTGTATAATATTTTTAAAATAGCATTCCTTTGCTTTCCCAGACTGTTACAGCCTTGATCCCTCCTGATTTTTTTTGCTTATATGCATAGGAGGGAAATAGAGAATATCAGAGGACTGGGAACAAAGCCCCATGAGGCTCTCTATGTGATAGCACTTTTTGAATACTTGAAAGGTTGTCACAGAGGAGGTCCTGGAACCCTTCTCAATCATGTCAGAGTACAGGACACAGAATAATGACCTCAGGTTACCAGAAGTAGAATCCAGCTGGACATCAGGAAAAACTTTCTGACTGCTGGACAGTATGACAATGGAACCAATGACCTAGGGAGGTTGTGGGCTCTCCCACATTGGAGGCATTCAAAAGGCAGTTGGACAGCCATCAGTCAGAGATACTTTAGCTTGGAGACCTGTATTGAGCAGGGGTTGGACTCAATGACCTTACAATATCATCTGTCTCTGCTATTCTATGAATGTGCTTAGTGATGCTTTACTAATAGAGCTAATATACATAGGTGTATTTTTCTATACATAGGTGTATTTCCCTGTTTTCTAATAAGGAAAAAGGAAAGATAATGAAATAAAACCTTCCAACCCTTCCAGGAATTCAGTGCCAAAGTTTTGCATAATTTTCTTTGGGCCAGTTGGGGCAGGGAAGTCCAGTTTTTTCAACTCTGTGAATTTTATTTTTCAAAACTAGGTGTCAAATAATGCCATTCAGGCTCAGATTCCACAAGTGTGGCTATGCAGGTAACTCTACACTGCTAATCTAAGATTAAAATACATTTTAGTCACTACATATTTTGATCAATATTTTTCCAGATGTTTCAGAGACATTTCTCTGTCAGTGTTTGGCCCTTTGTACTTGGGCTTTTTTTTTTTTTTGACAATTCTACGATCATACTTCTGTGAAATTAACCCATGGTCCAAACACATTCTCACCCAAGAAACTAAAGATACTGTATTTGAACTTGAGTGAATGCTGTGTATCTAAATATCTAATGCAATAAAACAGAAATTGTCTTTTATTTCAGTTTTGGTAGATCCGTATTGTGCTTCCTGACGGGAGTCTCAAAGTGTCTCATTTTGTTGTTCTTAGTCGCGAAGTCGTGTCTGACCCATCGCGACCCCATGGACAACATTCCTCCAGGTCTTCCTGTCCTCCACCATCCCTCGGAGTTCACTTAAGCTCACACCAACTGCTTCAGTGACTCCATCTAGCCACCTCATTCTCTGCCGTCCCCTTCTTCTTTTGCCATCTATTGTTCCCAACATTAGGCTCTTCTCCAGGGAGTCCTTCCTTCTCATTAGGTGGCCAAAGTCAAGGTTGATCTATAGGGCTGACCGGTTTGATCACCTTACCGTCCAAGGGACTCGCAGGAGTCTCCTCCAGCACCACAATTCAAAGGCCTCAATCCTTTTGCGCTCAGCCCTCCTTATGGTCCAACTTTCACCACCATACATTGCAACTGGGAAATCCATAACCTTGATTAAACACACTTTTGTTGGCAGGGTGATGTCTCTGCTTTTTAGTATGCTCATAATATGCATAAAATGCATATTTTATGTCTCATAATATGCATAACATGCAATGGAAACCATATATTAATATTAAAAAGTAAGGTATGTGGTTGACTTGTCTTATCTTCTCCTGGATGCTTTCTCACTGGGCACTTTCATACATCACTGCATCCCATTTTGGCAATAAGCCACAGCAGTATGGTTCTTATGTGATTCAGCTCACCATGGACTCTTCAGTTTCTCCTTCCTCCTCCCCCCTTAGTCCTCCCACAAATATCCAAGGTGACCTTGTGTTAGGACCAATTTATCTAGCCCTCCTTCACATGATAGCAAGCTATTTTTGGATCAACACACTTTTTCTGTCCCTCTACTCCCCCCCACCCCAAAATTGCTGACAATCAACATCCTGAGTAAAC